TAGCTCACTATTCAAAAACTATTGGTGTCTCGACTTTTTTGTAACAACTTTTATTATTTACTTTTATACAAGGAATCTTGTAGCGTACTCAGTGTTAGGTATTTACGAAACACCCTGTATATGTATTATCTGTAAGGAAAGATCGATTTGTTACTTTATTAATCCTTGGCGTGTTGTAGATATTGCTAATATTAATAAATTTTTATGACTATGTAAAGACCGTATTACACTGTAGATTGCTTTAAGGGTTGAGGGTTAAGAACCGACCAATTAGCAGTTGCATATTAAACCTTGTAACGAATTTTACGATGCGGAGAATAACTCGTCGGTTCGTTAAGATTCGTTCAGCAATTTGTCGAGAGACTCTAAATTAGTAGTTTTTAGATAAATAATAAGTTTATTAAAAGTAAAGATGAAAATAATTACAAAAGAAACTCTGAGTACGCGAGTAATTATAAAAGAAACATCGCAACGGTGGTTGTAATTTGAGAATAACAAATCGGTTTAATAAGCGATGGTAGCGCGAAAATAAATATGTTCGAACGGAGTGCGCTCTCGGAATTTATAAATCTAACACGATCGGTGGGAAAAATAATACAAATTATAATACACGTACAATTGAGCAAAAGCGACTCGGTATCCTACTCAGGTAGCTACCTGTCGCTTCTGCTCAATTATATGGCCGCATTCCAGTGATGGGGGGTGTTAAAACGTAGAACCTGATCGGCTCTTAACAGTGCGGAATGCACATTGTTACAACCTACCCGGCGAGCTTTACTGTGATTGGTTGATTTCCTATACCTAACTTGCAGTTACAGTATAAAACGGGTTTACGAATGCATCCCTCTTTTCACTTTTTACTTGTCCTTCTGGCAGTCAACATCGTCTAGAACGTAACGTTGGAGCGCATAGTTATTCCACGTGTTGAGTGTAATACGGAGTTTAGCAAATTATTCCAATTCCGAGGTATGTGCATAATTTTTAATTTTCCCCGAATTTAAAATTACGAAGGAGCAATAGTAGCATGCAAAAAATTAATATGAAAAGTAATTGAATTTAAATGGTCTCCATCAATCTGATATTTCCACTGTTAAACATTAAACTTGGATATATGGCAAAGTTAAATACTAATTTATTTTTAATTATTATCTCAATTTGAAATTTATTGTTCCGATGCATACATAGGAACTTAATATTGAAAGTGAGAGTGTTGGTTTAATAATCGTTCCCTGCCACGTGGATTGCATACACCTTACACCGTAACTTACCGTTTTATTGATTCTTTAAATCAGTAATTTGCTTTAACTGTGATAACTGCCCAAATAACACAAACACGTTCTATAAATATTTTATAAATATTTGTTGAAAATATAGAATATTCTTTCAATGTACTAAAAGATGTTTTTTAAATCTTCATAGAACATTCAAATGAGACCAATTTAAATATTCCAGATAGGTTGAAAAAATATTCTTTATTATATTCCAGAAATACTCAGAGAAGATGTTTAATACCATCTAAAGAACATTCACTGAATATTCTACTAAATTAGTATAAGTTATAAATATGTGTACGTATCAGGGGCGGATTTAGGCATGGGCTGAATGGACAATAGCCCGGGGTGGCAGAATCGTCGCAGAAAAAAATATGCGATTCTAGGAAAAAAAAATGAGAAAAAAAAGATTATTAGATTTGAAAAAGTGCAATTGGGGGGGGGGGAAGGCCTGAAATGTAACATATCTGTTATGTAAAAAAATGTAACACAGGCTGTTAATATTAAATTGTAAGGAGCAATTACGCTTGAAACATTCTTTATTTTACATGAGATATAACATAAATACATAAAATAAAAATTATAAAACAAAAACTTTGCAGCCCAAGGCGGCAAAAACATAAATCCACCTCTGGTACGTATATGTATTTCATACAATTTATTAAATACATATAAGTATATAAACTGTAATCTTATGTCACAATTGTTTTTTTAGTATGTGTATATGATAAGCATATATTAATGTTTTCATTTTTTATCTCTTTTTTTATCAATATATGCATTTTTTATTAGTATGATCGGTGATGCAATAATAGAAGCTTGTATGCACAATAGAAATCTGAAATATATTATTTCTTTATTACCTTTATTATTATTACATTCGTTAGATACGAATAAATATTTTATAGAATGTTTATAGAATGTGTTTATGTTATTTGGGTATGTATTCTGAACGTCATCTATGTACATCTTCAGTACATTTGAATATTCATTGAACACCCTGCTGGAAATATTTTTCTGAAAATTTAACGAAATTTTGCTGAAATGTATTTGAAAATTTCTCTCAATTGACTCCATTAATTAATTTCATAAATATTTCAGCAATTTTTCATTAAAAAGTAACAGTTTTCAGTTTAATTCAGTAAATTTTATAATGATAATTATTTCAAAAACTCTTTTATTACTTTTCAGTAGTATATTTTAACTTTCCTTATATTTCATAGTATTATATTAAATTTTCATACGGAAAATTATTCATTCATATTATTGATTTATTTTGAAATATATTCAGTAATTTTTCAAAAACTTTTATTTTACTTTTCATTGATTTCATAGTACTTTTCAGCAAAATATTTCCATCAGGGCATTTATGGAATATGTTCTTACTGCTGATTTTAACATATTCTGGGCAGATTTATAGAATATTTTTTATAAACAAGGATATTTTACAGACATATATAAATGATTTCTTCAAAAATATTCTTATAAAAATATATTTGATGCAACATAGAATATTCATGCAATATTGTGTGTTATCTGGAGTTAGACGAACGATTTGAGTGAAAAGAAAATGCCCTCGAACTTTCTCTTCTGACTCATCCCTATTATACGCTCAGGTCATTTTTCTATTAGTAAAAGGATATTGACCTGCCTATTCATATCCGTTACCGCTACAGTTACCGAAAAAAAGTAATTGTAACGGTAACGGTGTTAGACGAACAATTTGAGCGAAAAAAAAATGCCCTCGAACTTTCTCTTCTGACTCATCCCTATTATACGCTTAGGTCATTTTTCTATTAGTAAAAGGATATTGACCTGCCTATTCATATCCGTTCTGCCTTTTCATGTTGTTAGCAATGCCACATGCCCGTGTTTCAACTGTAAGCAACGAGCAAAAATTTTAAGATCTGGATATTAAAAAAATAAATTAAGCATTTTTGCATAAAAATTGCTAAAGTAATTAACACTTTTGGTACGAGCGTCGACAATAATGCAATGTTGGTTTATATATTGTTTCTTGTTTCGAAATATATTAAATTTTACTATTAAATTAACTCTTTTTAATTTGTGTATTTGTTTAAATTAATAAATTGCGATATATTACAAAAATTTATTTTAATACTTCTCTTTTATTTTTGGCTAATAAATAGAGATAACTAGGGACTTTTAAACAGATTAATATTAACAACATAACATAATATATTGCAAAATTATTAGTAAAATGTCAACAGTTTTCGCGCGGTGTGGAAGCATTCTCGCGGCTCGATTATCGCAACGCGCTTCATGGCTAACGTTTCATACCGCAAGGATTAATTAATTTAATATAGTTTATTGTTATAGTTCTTGAATGTTTCTTTTTTCTAACATTGTTACATTATTTGTATTTTTTTATTTAAACTTTTTTCTTTTTTTCTTCTCTCTCTTTCTCTCTCTCTCTTTCTTCTTTCTCTCTCCTTCGCTCTCTCTCTCTCTCTCTCTCCGTCTTTTTCTTTCCTTCCCTCTTTCTTTCAATATTAATTTTTTGCGGATAGAGCAATAAAGAATTAAAACAATAAATCAATAATAAATTAGCACTTAATTTAGTTGATATATCCGAATTTAATTTCTAATGGTAAATAGTGTTAGATTAAAAGAGATGCAGTCTAGTTTAAGTAAATAAATCAGTGATGAAGTATGTGGCTTGTTTATTACGTAATTTACAGTACCGTTTATTTAATTAATTTCAGATGTATATATTTACGGCGCATGACATGCAGCGTTATCTTGACTCGTGGATTTGTATGCAACATACAATATCGAGAAGTGTAGGTTGTAAAATATGTTATCCTGATGTAGAGAGGTATCCTGAAATGTATTTTGATAATGTAATATATCCTCCACATCTGGAATTATATTATCCGAAAACGAATTTATCATATTATCCTCAAAATAATACGCCATATACTGACGATAAGAAACAAAGATATAAAATTTGCGCCATCTGTTCACTCTGGTCGCTTGAGGGTCCTGAATCGTATTGTGGCCACGCAATACATAGACCTGCAATAAGATACAGTCTAGATCATTTATCAGACCAAGTAGAACAATTCTTAATTATGATTAAAAAAAATTCTGAAATTTTGATTGAAAAATCAAATAACATATGTCATGATCTGACAGTCGAGTATATATTGCTCGACTTGTTAGATGACTTAAGAGAATTTCAGCCACAGATAAATGTGTGTGCTTACGGGTCCATGATCTCAGATCTAGGACTCCCCAAGAGCAATGTTAATATTTCTCTTGATTGTGGTAAGTTAATTTTAATTTATAAAATAGCTTTTGTTATAAGTATATGTATAGTTAGAATAATTTCTTTAATTTGTTAATACTTAAAATATTTTCCTGTGTACCTGAGTTTATCAAAACAGGAGCATTAACATTTTAATATAACTATCATTGTTGCTATTTATAGTGAAATAGTTTATATGGAGTTTATTTACAACACAAAAAGTGTGTCAAACATTTTGATATTGGTTTATAAGTATAACTTTTGGAACTTGCAATTATATCAGAAGTAAAATAAAATTTAACTTTTACTTTCAAATATGCGATAAATTAGTAATGTAACAATTTGAAAATTTGGTTCCTACAAATTTTTATTTATTGTATATTACTTTTTATTATTATGAGTTATATATATGTTTTGTATCTATTTATTCTATTCTATTAATTTTTACTCTATTCTTGTGATTCAGATAATATGTATGAAGGAAAAAATTTAACACGTCGTCATCAGACTCTGATTGCAAGGATTGCAGAATATCTATCCTTTGATAAACAATTGTGCATAAAGTGGAAAATGCACGAAGTGAAATTACATAGTAGAATACCAATTGTAAAAGTACAGCATGTTCTTTCTGGACGTAGTTGTGACATTTCAGTTGCAAATAGACTAGCAGTGGAAACTACAAATATAATTAAGTAAGTATTTTTTTTCTTTTTTGACATAAATCTGAAATAAAAGTATTTTTAATATTATACTGTATTTTTTGGGACACAAACAAAAATAAAACTTTTTTTCTAGGTACTATAATCGTACTTTTCCATTGTGCCGAAAAATGATTTTATTTCTTAAACAATGGTTGCACGTAGCGGGATTGCATTTTATAACAAGCTACACCATAACATGGTGTGTTATTTTTTATTTGCAAACTATGCAAGTGTTCCCTAGCATATCAAAGCTAATTCAGAAAGAAAATAAATCACGGCGAATTAATGGTAAGTAGGAATATTTTTTTAAATATCTTTATAAAACATTAAACATTTTTTTTTAATTTAATTTAATTTGAACGAGTTAAAGTGTTAACTTAATAAATAAATTAGAGTGAAAGACAATAATTATTTACTAATTAATATACTCAACTTATATATTTTATGTTTATATGCTAATGTACTGTTCAGTTTACATATACTCAGTATTTAATTTTTTTTTAGGATGGGAAATTGGTATAAGCTGTAATTTTGTTATTAAGAAACTAGATATGTCTTTTGAAAAACATTTACTAACATTTTTTTTATACTATGCAAATTTTTATTTTGAATATGAAGTGGTCTGTCCATTGTTGGGTCGAAAACTAGACAAAAGAGTTTTTACCGGTTTTGATACTCTAGAAAATTCATCGAATGATATGCGTCCATATATTAATTATCTGCAAAACAATTTTACCGAAGACGAGCCAGAAGCTTTTTGCTTATCGGCAATGTGTGTGCAAGATCCGATTAATTTATCAGATAATCTGACAGAGACGGTATCGATTGATGAGCTAAGAAAGTTTCAGAGTTATTGCAAGTACAGTGCAGAAGTACTGTCCCAAATAGTCTTTTCCACCTGAAACCACCGTAATCTTATCTTAATTAATGTACTTAATTAATGTATACGATGTACATATATTAATGGATAAAATAGTATAAAAATTCTAAATATAATTTTTCCGAATTAAATAAACAAGCTTTGTAAGAAAGCATACATTGTAAGCATTGTAAGAATCACAATATGTACTATGATACATATAATATATTGTTTAAATTGAAAAAAGATTTGATAATTTTATTATAAATTTTGTACATGCTATTATATCTACCATAAAAAGATGATTGGTATATTACATATTATAATTGATATATTACAATAACAAGAGATGGTAAAGATAAAAAACAAAATAAAAATATTAGATGTATAAACTATACGTATGATTAATAGAAAACATAGTGCATATAATCGAAGTTTTCATAATATATACCGTATATTATATACCGTAAATATATATTTATCATTTTTATATCATTTTATCTTCTTCTAATAATCTTACACCTCTTTGTTTTTAATCTTTTTATATGTTCTTTGTAAGTCTTTTATCTTTGTAATAAAATTATTATAAATCTATTATATTTCTATATTATTTATTTCCTTAGACTTATTATTTTAAAATAAAATAATTTCCTTTGTATCGCCTTATAATACAGTTGTTTATCCAAGTAATAAAACAATTGTTGATCTCTGGATAATTAAAATAGAAAAATATTAAAAAATCATATAAGTAAATAACAAGTAAAAAAATCAATTACATTTATCTGTCTTGATTTATTTTAGATTCTGTTTCTTCTTGTACAATGTCTTGCTTCCATATATATTCTTTTACATATTTATCTTTAGGTATACAAGATTTTTTACAAGTAAAAACAGCCAATATTCCCCAATCAAGGCAATTGACAATGTCTTTGAAATTGAGGAAATTTAATAGCTGTGGCATTATCTGCAAATTAATTTTTATCAAATTATTTATTGGTATCAACAATTATGTATACGTAATAATGTTCAAAAATTTTTTTAATATAATCTCCAATTGTATAATTTTTATAATAGTCCACATCTTTGGTTTAATAATAAACCAAACACACCCACTCAAACACATATAAATGCTTACTTGAAATTCAAATTGCCTATCACCATCGCATTCTGGACATTTTGGTATATTTGTTACTTGATTATGTGACGAAATATATAAAATTTTTCCTCCTCTGTCATACCTATCAAAGAAATATAGATGAAATATTAGTTGCCACAATCTTGTGTACTTTTTTAAAGAAATATTTACCTTAAAATCTGATCTGGGTAATTGTCTATTTTCATACGAAACTCTGTAAATGTTTCATCCTTTTCATTACTAGCCATCTGTAGTAAATCATCATTAACATTTTCATGTTGAAGAGTTCCAGCTTTATCATTCCGGACCATCTCATTATACTTTTCAATTTCTATCTGTTCAGTTTTTAAATCACCTTGCTCCATATCTTCTTCATCAGAATCATCGAATGTTATTGTAATTTCATATTGGGGAAACAAAAAACTGTTGTCATTATTTTCTTTAATGCCACATGTATATTTATGTCCATTCTTCCAATCATATGTTTGATGCCCACGACAACAATAATTAGTAACTTTACATTTGGCACATCGACTATGTGCCAAAATCCCACATACGCGACATGTTTTGGTCCATAATGATATATCTTGAAAGAAAAGACACAAAAAAAGTTACACATAATCATTATCTAACATATATAGAATTTACCAAAGAAATAATTTGTTGTTATAATATTCACCAATATCTTTTCCCCAATTCTCCTGATCAACAGGTGCTCCAATTGGATAAAAAATGTTGTCTCTGCCCAACTGTGATCGAAAAACTTTCAAATTTCCACTTTGATTCGGTTTGCAGCAGCCTGCATTTTTACATATAAAAATATAAATAGTCCTGTGAAATGCATTGGCATCTTCTTCGTATGGTGCATAGACCTGGCATAGAAATAAGCAAGGATCACTGCAATACTCGCACTCCAGGTCACTTTTATCAGGAAGATGTTTCAAATCGAGCCAGGCTGGTTTACCACCTGCTTTACTGGGAAAAAATCTGCTCTCCAATTGCCACGGCTCGGATTTCTTTATGAAACCTAATTCAACTGTCATATTTAAATCACAAGAAAAGAAAAATAATATAATAATATTGATAATTAAAATAAGAATAAAATTTGTAGAAATAAATATTCTGAAATGTCAAAACGGACTTAAACACACGTGTTCGATCTAACTCTTGGATATAAAATATTAAAGATTGGAAACTGCAAATGGAAATTGAAATTTGATCGAGACAAAGTAAACTAAGACTTGATTGGTAAATTTTCTTCAATTCGTAATCTCAATCTCCAATACATAGTTTGAAATGAGCTTAAGGATGTATTTAGCTAAACGCATAATGCATATGCCAGTATAATCGACCAATCATAAGGTCTGTTTTTTATAGCTGAACTGGCTGCACTAGTTCAGAGTTTATTTTTCTCCTTCCAATGTGGAGGGAAAAAGATAAACTCTGAACTAGTACAGCCAGTTCAGCTATAAAGAACAGACCTATATATATAAAGAATACGTTTGGTTTTTTAAAAATACACTAACTTTGCATCCAGTATTGCACTGTTGGCAGTACTGCCTACATCAAAAAACTTTATTCACACACAATCGTCAGTTCATATCTGTCAATATTATACACGTAGTGTTGTATCTGTTGATATTTGTCATTGTTTAAGGTTAGCTGTCTAAAAAAATTACAGAATCCAATATCTTTCGATAAAAACTGCAAGAAAATGACATCCTGCTTCGAGAACATGCAAGTGCCGTCTTGTGTTTGGTTCGAAGGCGGCGAGAAGAGAAATGCACTTGTTTCTATGCTTGCAGGCACATTGGTACATCTACAAATTTATTTATCTTACAATATCAATATATATGATTAAATTATTTTTGTTACTTTGCTGAGTTATTTCTTGGATTTGAATACTTTATGTTATAAATATTTAATACATAAAAATTGTATATGTTGCAATACATTTTGCGCTAAATATATAAATTTTACTAAAATACTGCTTTAGTTTTTTGTAGGATGGTGGTTTATAATCGATGCACATGCAAAATATCCAGATGAAATGTCAAATGCTTATCATGTATGTGGAGTGTTTGGTACTATATCACTTTTTATGTAAGTAACATTAATGATATTTATTAATGGTTTTTATAATATAATATTATATTTTGTCAATTTAAAAAGCAACTTGATACTTTTGTAGGGTTAATTCAGTGACAAATGCACAAATAAGAGGAGAAGCATACAATGGTGGCTGTTTAGGAGCAAGAGGCGCTAGGAGTTGGCTATTTATTGGATTTGTTATGGGATTTGCAGCGGTAATAGCAGCCTGTTGGATTTTATTTGCCAATTTTGTGGCTGCAGGTATTTATAGTAATGATATGTATATGTGCATTTGTGTGATTATGAAGCAAAGAAGGATGATTATTATATTTTTTTAGGTGCACCACATCATTGGCCAGGTGTTGGATTGTTTTTGCAAAATGTATTTATTTTCTTGGGCTCTCTCACATATAAATTTGGTCGATCAGAAGATCAATGGGGTTAATATAGATGGGATGCCATTGTTTGGAAATATTTTTACTACTACATGGTCAAATTAAGCACCATGCAAAGCTTGACTGAAGAAACTCATGAAATTGATATATCGTGTATTGCTTCAAATATGAAATTTAATTCATTTAACACTAAATTCTTATTATAAACATTTTTTATTTGTGATAATTTATTTATATCCACTAGAATCGAGATCAAATAGTGATTATAAATATGCATATAATAGATGAGATTTGCAATAACTTAGAAATAAGGAGATTAGATTAGTAATTTTTGTGTGATAGAGTTATATGCTACTTATAACGCATTAATAATTTTCATATAAATCTTATCAATAATTTTTACTATAAGTTTTATTTTCTCATAAATTATATCAGTCTTTTCAATCTATGCATTTTGAAATACTATTTTTATATCTTTATTATTTGTTGGCGTCTTGTATTTCATAACTTAAAGGAAAGATAATTATAAGTGTGTCTAATATTGAAACTAAATAAATAAACTAAAATAAAATTTATAAAAATTGGTTTATGGAGAGATAAACATTTTATAAGTAAATGATTGAATTATTCCTGATGTTTGATTTTTTTAGTCGATACTTTAGATATTTAAATCTATCGAAATTAATCATTTCTCTTTCTAATATATAAAACGTAACAGAGAGAGAGAGAGAGAGAGAGTATAGTATATTTTACTTTAAATTTTTGATAAATTTTTTTTTTACATATATATATTGATTTGTGCAGTTTTATGCATTTCGTGGATAAACCTTAAGACTCATAAAATAATTATTTTTTGACGACATAAAGCCGAACATCTTCAAGAATTGATGTCACTATTTATAGATCGCGCTACAACTGCCAGTGCAAATCCAAAGTGAACCACGCGTCCCACCACGTCCTCTCCTTTACCAATCGCAATGTGCCACACCAACACATGCTGTCCACGAAGTTTCAGAAGAGAGAATTACGTTTAGCTTGTTGATTTGAAAAAGGTGTGATGCTCGAACGTGGGTTCTGAATGGTGTATAGTTGAGAATCAGTCTCGAAAAACGCGCGTATTGTCAAAAACTTAAGCGCAAGGTAAGCAAGCATTATTCATTTGTACTATTTTATGATTGACATCGTTTAACGTCGCCGGTATTCATAACCAAGTTTGACATTTAAACAGTTGGATAGACGGCACATCGTGTCTTATTAACGGATTCTTACATGCTTTTGTAATATTTTTTTATGAAATTTACTTTAAATATATTTCATTTACAGATGGGATTTTCGCAGAGAAATATGTCGATAGCGTCATTAGCCTTACTCATCATTGCAACTTTCATCGGCATTAGCGAGGAAATTGCCGTTATGAGTATCGATATTGGCAGTGAATGGATGAAGGTCGCTATTGTTTCGGTATGTAATTAATAATCTGTTTGTAGTTGATCCTAATTAATGCATGAACTTTTAAGGATAATTTTTTATTAGGAAATTTTTTTAATCAAATATCTTCCATATCTTTTTATATTTAAAAAATATTTTCTAATGCCTTGTTACATTTTGTAGCCTGGTGTTCCTATGGAGATAGCTTTAAATAAGGAGTCAAAGAGAAAAACACCGGTTGCTATTGCATTCAGAGATGGTGAAAGATCTTTTGGCGAGGATGCTCAAGTGGTTGGAGTAAGATTTCCTCAGAACACCTTCTCTTATATCCTAGATCTTCTAGGAAAGCCTATAGACAATCCGCTAGTACAACTTTATCAGAAAAGGTTTCCTTATTATGATATTATAGCCGATGATGAAAGAAAAACAATAGCGTTTAGATTAAACAAAAATACAACATATACCCCAGAGGAGTTACTTGCACAAATATTGCACAAAGGCAAGGAGATGGCTGAAGCTTCGGCTCATCAGAAGGTCAACGAAGCTGTTATCACTGTGCCAGGATTCTTTAATCAGGCGGAGAGAAGGGCTCTAATTCAAGCTGCGGAACTTGCCGACTTGAAAGTATTACAGCTTATAAACGATTACACAGCAGTCGCTTTGAATTATGGCGTGTTTGGCAGAACACAAATAAATGATTCTGCGCATTACATTATGTTCTATGACATGGGGGCCAGTAGTACTACTGCCACAATTGTTAGCTATCAAAATATGAAGACAAAGGAGAGAGGCTTTGTTGAAACCAATCCTTATGTTACTGTCCTGGGTGTAGGATACGACCGTACACTTGGTGGATTAGAAATGCAAATCAGATTACAGAATTATTTAGCTAAGGAATTTGATGCTCTGAAGAAGACGCCAAATTCAGTATTCAACAGTCCAAGAGCAATGGCAAAGCTCTTCAAAGAAGCTGGACGTGTCAAAACTGTTCTCAGTGCTAATGCAGATCACTTTGCGCAGATAGAAAGTCTAATAGATGACATTGACTTCAGATTGCAAGTCACAAGAGAAAAGTTAGAAGAAATATGTGCTGATTTATTTGAACGTGTAGCAAATCCTGTGAAAATTGCCTTAGAAACTTCAGGTAAAATATCGTTTTTAAATAAAATGATTGTTTTTGCAGTACAAATATTTAAGTGCTATGTAAATATATATGCAATTGTTTCAGCTTTGACAATGGATGTTATGTCACATGTTGTATTAGTCGGAGCAGGTACTCGCATGCCAAAGGTACAAGAGGCATTGTCCCAATATGTAAAGACAGAATTGTCAAAGAATGTAAATACAGATGAGGCGGCTGCTTTAGGAGCTGCGTATAAAGCGGCTGATCTTAGCAAAGGTTTCAAAGTCAAAAAATTTGTTACTAGAGATGCCGTGTTGTTCCCGATTCAAATAATTTTTGATAGGACTGTTGAAAATAAGGTGAAACAGGTAATTGTTCATTGTATGATGTTCAGTTTTCTGATACATTTTAATCCCTTTTTCTGTTAAAAAACGAATTGACAAAATTTACTTTTGCACAGGTAAGGAAGACTTTATTTAGCAGGATGAATCCTTTCCCACAAAAGAAAATTATTACATTTAATAAGCATACAGAAGATTTTGATTTTCACGTGAATTATGCCGAGTTAGATTATTTACCTGCTAATGAGATAATGTAAGTATCTGTAGATTTGTAATGTTGGGAGAAAATTAACAGAAATTATTTTAAGTGGTCATGTTAAAAAAAATACAACGTCCAAATATTTTTTCAGTTCTATTGGCAATTTAAATATATCTTCTATATCACTGAGTGGCGTAGCTGAAGCTTTAGAAAAACATGCGAAGGAAAGCGCTGAAAGTAAAGGAGTCAAAGCGCACTTTAACATGGATGATAGTGGCATACTGAACTTACTGAATATAGAATTAGTTTCCGAAAAACCGAGCACTACTGTTGACGAAGAAGAGGGTACTTTCTCAATACTTGGCTCAACTATTAGTAAATTCTTTGCAGGTTTGTGCTAAAGGCGGTGCAAAAAATGATGCTATTAATTTTTATTGCATGTACGGATCTCCATTCTTGATAATACACTATTTTGGTTCTTCACTATAGTATATTTACATATATTGAAGAACTATTATTTCTTTTTTAAGAGAGCAAATATGTTATTAATGTATAAAAGTGCAAAAATTAGAAGTATTATTTTGAAATCATTTTTTGCAAGCATTTTTACTAATATAGTAGGGATGTATAGATGCATAACAAAGATTATTTTTTAGTAGAATTTGGTTTTTGTGTTGCTGACAAACACGTTTGTTGCGATATATCATTGAAATTTATAGATTTATTTAAAAGAATAGTTTTTATTTTAATAGAATGACTTATTATGCAGTATGTTTTTTTATTTATATTATGTTGCTACTATTAGATGTTATTTGATGTAAGGATCAATTGTCAGTAATACAAAACTTCAAATCCTACTTATTATTTAGATGTGACATTAAATGACAAAATTTTGATTTGTTAGGTTCAAATGAGAAACCAATAGAAAAGCCAGAGGAACCACCGAAAGAAGATATAAAACCAGTACATGAAGAACCGGAATCTTCAGAACCGCCAAAGGACGCAGAGGAAAAAAAGAAGAATGAGACAAAAGTGAACGAAGATAAAGCTGCAAATAAGACCGAGAAAACAGACAAAGAAAAGAAATCTACCATCATTCAAATTAAGGAACCTATCAGTTCAAGTGAAATTAAATTAGGATCACAAATCTTATCTGGTGAAAAACTTACGGAATCTCAAGACAAGTAAGCAAAAATATATATTTTTGACATTAACTAATGTAACGGACCTATATTCACGATTACTTCCATTTTCAAATTATTTTATATCGTACTGACGTAAGCATTGATGTAATTTTCATTTTTATCGTATGCTAGCTGATACGTAATCCGTTCTACTGATACTTAAATTATTTTAATAAATATTTTTTATAGGATATATCGTTTAAATGTACATGATTCGGAGAAAACACGTCGCGAGACCGCACTGAATAATCTCGAATCATATGTAATCGACGCACAACAAAAGCTTGATTCGGAAGAATACTCGACTGCAGCTACTGACAAGGAAGCTGAAGAGATTCGCAAAGCGTGCGCAGAAACGTCTGATTGGTTGTACGAGGATGGATTTACTGCGACTGCGGAAGTGTACGAAGAAAAGTTGATGGAATTGCAAAAGTTAACCAATGATGTTTATGAAAGAGTCTCCGAACACCGAGATCGTCCGGAAGTTCTGAAGGGAATGGTTTCATTACTTAATGGTAGTGCATTGTTTCTGGAAAATATGCGCAACTTGAGTTTAACGACTGAGATTATTACACCAGTTGAAGTTGAGACGTTAGAAAAAACGATCAATGAGACACAGGTAATTTTCATGATATCTATATTTTATTTTAATTTAATAGTAATGTGATATTGTATGATTTTATAGTTTAACATCATGATACTTATAATACTAACATTATGCAAAATGTGATATTTTTAGGATTATTATGAAACTATCCTTAAATCATTTGCGGAGACACCACTAAACGAGCCAGTGAAATACAAAGCTCGTCATATCGCGAATAAAATGGAGTTACTTGACAGAGAAATTAAATATCTTCTAAACAAAGTTAAAATTTGGAGGCCAAAGCAGGAATCCACGGCGAATCAAACGACAGATAATAAGGCTGAGCAAACCGTAGAAGAAAATGAAGAAGTTCCAACTGAATCTGACACTACAAAAGATGAATCTGCAAAAGAAGAAACAGCGGATAATACAGCAGGACAAGAATCGGAAGCGACAGACACTACGCAGGAGCCATTGGTTGTACCGGAAAGCGAAGAACCGCGATTAAGTGGTGAGCCAGTTCAGGACGATGAGCATCAAGAACTATAAAAAATAATTTATTTAAGAGAGTGTGTGATTCTCTGTTATTGATCGACGATACCACGTCGATTTAGGCAATTTTTGTAGATTATCTTTGTCGGTTGCATTTAAGATGTAAAAAAATCAAAGCGGGAATTTTTATGCGTTGCTGTGGTTGGATAAATTATTCCACAAATGTGAATATAAGCTGTTCCATTTAATTAATAATATGTATTTATACCAGGACACAATAGTTTCATTCACTATTTATTTATTATAAAGGAGTTATCAATACGATTGAAAAGATCCTATCAAAGATTAATTTCCACAATAATTTATTATGTTACACAAGTGCCAAGCAAATGCCGATGCAGATATCCATTTATTCGATAATGAACATGCACATACAGAATAGGTCAGTTCAGTGAGAGATTTATCTTAAATTTTTACAATTTTAATGTATTAAATTTTTTATTTTACATATTAAATATCTTTGCTGCAAATATATCTTTCAATCATATATATATATATATATTATACATTACCAGATGACTATAGAATATACTATTGTTATAATGAAAACAAAATCATAAAATAATTTTTGCATATTTTTTAGAGAATAAATTTTCTCATGCAACATAACTCTGCTTAAAGATATATTTCACAATCAATATTTAAAGAAGAATTTATATTCTCTATACATATATGTGCTTTATGTGCATTTTAGTTCATGTTCTTTTTATAAAATTCAAAAAAATTGTATATTTTTTTTATTTTTGTTATTTATAACGATAAATTGTGTAATGTGAATAATTTTGGATATCGCAATATAATTTCACAACGAATTTGGTTATTTTGTAAGTATAATAATTCGCATGTGTGGTGAATGAAAATCGACTGCTTGAAAACTATATGATCAAATTGCTCATTTGGCTAGTTAATAATTAAGAAAACTTTTTAATATTGAAAACCTAGTAATGCAACATCATTATTCTACTGCCGAATAAATTTGAGTTTAACAAACTCCCAATCATTGCAGTACAGATGATTATAATTTTGAATATTACGATATTTATTAATGAATAAAAAATATACAAAATAATAAAATATAAGAAAATAAAGTGCTCTATCAGTTGTTTATTATTCTTAAACATAAGTATGTAGGTATTGAGCGTATTGAGGACAAATTATATGGCCTTTCTCTTGTATCTTACCTCTATTAGATTAAAATATTTGAGTAACAGAATAAAAAAAAACTGATTATATCATATTCCATACATATATGCATATATATTTTTAATACATATTTGATATATTTGTTCAAATGTTCTAATATTTTCAATTTTGCACATCTTTTTGATAAGAAAAAGAAAGAAAAGACAAATTGTGAATAGAGATAACTGTAATTTTGAATGTTACAATATTACAGGTCATAACTTTCATATTTTTTTATTTATTTTCCTAATCTTAATCAACTGACCTTCTACAATATTGACAATATTAATATCTCCTTCACATCTGTGAAAATAAAATATTTGTGCAATAACATTATGATAATTTTACAGAACATTGTTGGAAAAACTTATTTCTTTATAAAAAATATAATTTTATTAAATAATGTTTTAAATAAAAATAATCAGAACAAAATGTTTTATAAGCATGTACTAATAAGAATTATCATAATTTTTTGTTTATAATTGTGTTCATGATAAAATAAATTAACTACAATACAATATAAATATGTATATTCGATACACATGTTACATTTATTAATATATAATTAACAATATTTATTTATATTTATATCTTGCAATTTTTTAAACTTATTTATATCACAAACTATCTTCAAAGACAATTGTAATAAATTTGTCCATGTCGATATAATAAATAATCATAATAGATTATTTACAGATTCGTAAAAGGAACACTATTTCAAACATCTAGATGTATTGAAACAATGTGTCGACCAGGTACCATTACCAAGCCTAAAACTCTAGCTTCTGTGTGCTCTGTAGATAGATATTCAGTACATGAACCCAAAATAACATTGGCATCGCGATCAGTACATAAGAATGCTCCTCTTAGAACCCTTCCATCAGTCATCTCAATTCGTAAATGTCGGTTTAACCAACTTCTTAATTTCTGCTTTGCTGGTGATTCCTCCGGAACAATTGCCTGTCAGGATCACATAGATAAAAACAGCACTATTCAAGAACATAATAAAAGTTAAATATTTTAAAAAAATTTTATTTTAACAATTAATAATATTTTATAATTACATAAATTGGATATGTAAAATTACTTAATAAAATGTGTATATACACAGAATATTTAGAAAGTGTATATACATGTATAAGCACACAATCTATTACAATTATTTTAACAATTATGATAATTTTTTAAATATTTTAATAACAAGAAAACTCGTGAAGTTGAGATATATAGATTTATTTATATACATTTAAATATGTGTAAAGTACAACATAACCTATACATGTAAGAAAATTTATATAAAATTTTAAAGTGCTCTTTAAGAAGGAAAATATCGTTTTCGCAGATTTCAAAAGATAATAAAAAGTATCCTAAAAATTTGAAAAAAATAAATAAAACAGAACAAAGATATCGTTTGTAAAATTACCTCTCCATTCCCATGGATACGTTCGTTATTTACAACGTTACTTAAATTATGCACTGTCTCCTTCATACTTGCACTCTTGTTTATGTTTACTTACAGATGTTAGTATAATACTTCAAATGTATATCAGGCAAGATACACTTCTGTGAACACATAAAATAATTTAACCTTTCGCGACAACGATTTAAATTTGAGCTGTTTACTAATGGCTTATCTTCACAGTGTGAAGACACGGACACGTGACGTCAGCAGGTCTCGGTTATGTGCGTATAGAGCTCTCCGGGGAAAATTGGCAGCTCTGGTCGCCAGTCGTGAAGGATGGTAACTACTAATTAAAAAGTGCTATTTCTGGTTATTTTTGATAAGACGGGGTATTCGCAATTGGCGACGGGGCATTTGTGATGCATTGTAGAATGGCCCTAAACAGTCTGCAGTCCTAAGTTCTCTAACATCATGGACGCAGGCTTTTCAGCAATTGAATAACAAGTGAAGAAAGAATCGTGCTTTGTGTCATCTCTCACACAGCTGATCGATATGTTGACGTCCTTACGTCGAGCTTGCGAGCTCCTTGTGAGTAATTAACAATTTATCATTTTGTGCTCACTAATTTATTTTCTTATTATGGCTTTTAAAATATCTTACATAATCTTTAGCCATTAATTGTATCAATCAACTGTCAAATTAAATAATTTTCTCTTTAGTGTAAAATTTTGTTAATGATGTCTGGTGTTTTTATGAGAAAGCTATCTTCTAATTTTATTGAATATACAATATGCATCTTTTATTTCTCTCTAATATCTCTTTGTAAAGTGTATTTATTTGATATCTGTCACTCTCTTAAGAGACGTATCACTAACAGATTTTATTTGTTATTTATATTTAAAAATATATTTTATTTTTGCAGGCTTCAAGAAATATTAGGGGAGTGCAAACAACAGCAATTCGTGCATCAGATCAGCTATTTGTTGTATGTATAATAACAATAATTAATAATAATAAGTTTTAAGCAGAATGTATTATATGATATATCTTTTTTAGCACAGAGATAGCGAGCATGACAATCCTAATATACCATTTGAGTTTAATGAGGCAAATAAAAAGCGGATTGAAGCACTACTCGCAATTTATCCCGAAGGTCATAAACGTGGTGCTATGATACCTCTATTGGATCTAGCGCAGAGGCAACATGGCTGGTTACCTATTTCTGCTATGCATAAAGTCGCCGAAATATTGGAAGTGCCAAACATGAGAGTGTATGAAGTTGCCACATTCTATACAATGTTTAATCGTAAGCCCATGGGCAAGTATCATGTACAGATTTGTACCTGTACACCATGCTGGTTGAGAGATTCCGATTCAATAGTCAAGGCTGTGACAAAGGCCACAAATTGCGAAATCGGTAACACATCTGCGGACAAACTGTTTACAATTTCAGAAGTGGAATGTCTTGGCGCTTGCGCTAATGCTCCAATGTTCCAAGTGAATGATGATTATTATGTAAGTATATTCTTTTAAATACAATAAAAAATTTATAATGTGTTATAATTATTTCTTTTTTTTAATAGGAGGATTTGACTGCAGAAACTGCAACGACTGTAATAAATGCTTTAAAGAAGGGTGAAAGACCTCCACCCGGTCCACAGAATTGTCCTAGATTTGCAGCTGATCCTGCTGGTGGACTCACATCATTAACAAGTCCACCACCGGGTCCTGGATTTGGTATTAGATCAGACCTGTAAAATATATTGTTAATAGGAATGTAGTGGATATTAATAAATGTAAAAAAGTTATTAATAAACATGTAAAAATAATAGATTATGTTGTTGATACATTTTATGTAGGCTATATATAATTTTATATATTATCTTATGAATAAAATCTATATTTAAAATATATCAATTTGTTATCTATTATTAACAAGTATTGTATTTTGTATTCATTATTATCAAAATATCCGATAGAATTGTATCTTAATCAAAGATAAAAAAATTTCACGATATTAAGAATGTTTTATGTCTATTTTATAAAAATATTTTATCTTCGAATAGTTTGCATAGCATTGTATAGTCAAATTGGTTATGCCGGTATGCTGCTTACACACATGTTGAACATGGCATAAGCATCATAAACATTAATATTTATTAAAAATATATTGAATTGAACAAAGTATAAATGAATGAAACGATGGAAGATCCTGTTGCAACAACCGAAAAGTCAAAAAAGATAGAAGCTATAAATAAAGAAACAATCCATCATATCTGTTCTGGCCAGGTAAGGTTAAGTATGTAAATACAAAGGAACACTATTATAAATTATAAATTTATTATATTGATTTCTCCTATAGAAAGAACTGAAATTATATCATATAAATATTTTATTAGGTGGTGCTTGATCTTGCAATCGCTGTTAAAGAGTTGGTGGAGAATAGTTTGGACAGTAATGCTACGGTGATTGATGTCAAACTTACTGATTATGGTAAAACATGCATCAGTGTCAGTGATAATGGTACTGGTATTTTGGAACAGGACTTTGAAGCTTTAAGTAAGTCTATAAATTAAAATAATAATCAATAATTATAGATTTATTGAAATTTAAATATATAAAAACCAGAAATCACAAAGTATTTTGTTTGTAATTAATTTTATATTGAAGTACAATTATTCTTCTAATAATAAAATAATTTCTTCTTTTCTTAATAAGGTTTGAAACATCATACTTCCAAGCTTCGGGAATTCACGGATTTAACTGAAGTAAACACATTTGGCTTTCGTGGTGAAGCATTAAGTTCACTGTGTGCTTTATCTGAATTGAGTATTGTCACCAAACATTCCTTGAGCCAGCATGGCTTTAAGTTAGATTTTGATAAAAATGGTATACTTACGAAGAAGGAACCGTGTGCTAGAGAAAAGGGAACCACAGTACACGTGAGAAATATATTCAAAAATTTACCTGTAAGAGCGAAAGAGTTTCAAAAGAATTTGAAGAAAGAGTATGCGCGTACTATCCAAGTCTTGTATAGTTACTGTCTGGTTTCCACAAACATTAAGATTACGTGTTTCAATTTGATAGCAGGCAAATCGCCTAATCTTGTAGTAGCCACCAGAAATACTGACAGCATACTGGATAATGTAAATTCTGTATTTGGCAAAAAGTCTATAGATGGGATTGTTAAAATCGAATTGCAACCTCCGGACGAAACAGCATTACAAGAATACAATTTGCCTAATGATGCTACTATAGATTTTGACTGGGAATGTTATGTGAGCACTTGTGATCATGCAGTTGGGCGTTCTTCGCCCGATCGACAATTTTTCTATGTGAACGGTCGACCGTGTGATCTCACGAAAGTCAGTAGATTGATAAACAATGTGTACCACAAATATAATAATAAGCAGTATCCATTTGTCTTTCTGAATATCAAGTTAAATCGACAGTGTGCCGACGTTAACGTTACTCCCGATAAAAGAACTATATTCTTCACGCAAGAACGTCTCATATTAACGACATTAAAGTTTAATTTAACAACAAGATGGGACAAACTGCAAGGGAATTTTGCAGCTAAAAGTTTGACGGAATTAAATTTTAGCTTGAAGAGAACAGGCTCGCCTAATTATGCGTCCCCGCCAGCTAAAAAATTGCAAATATCACCTTCAATGTCGCATATAGCAAAAGATGATGTTATTAAAACTAGTATTAAATCAATGAAAAAAACTGTGGATACAAAAATGGTGATAAATCTAGCAATAATAAAAGAAAAATTTAGAGAAAAAGAAAATATTGTTAGGACATCTGCCAATACAGAGAAAAGAATAAAATATAGAGTGCAAATGGAAGCTAATCAAGGTGAAGCTGAAAAGGAATTGCAAAGAGAATTGACAAAAGATTCGTTTGATAAGGTTGGTAACATATATCTATGTATATATAATTTTTTATCACATGGCACAATTGATTTCTATAGTATTTTGTGAATTGATTATATAAGAGTAATATCTAAAGTATTACAAATTTGTGTTTTTAAACTTAGAAATTTTTTATAGATGGAGGTAATAGGTCAGTTTAATCTTGGTTTCATAATAGCTCGCCTGGAGAATGATCTCTTTATCATTGATCAACATGCTACTGACGAAAAATTTCGCTTCGAGAAACTTAACAACGAAACGAAATTAAAAACCCAAAAGCTTATTGTGCCAAAGTCGCTAAACTTTTCTGCACTAAATGAAACGATACTTATAGAACATCAACAAACATTCGAAGATAATGGATTTACTTTCAGTATCAATGAACAAGGTATAAACGCTGAATCTTCTTATCGTTATCGTTGCATAATTAATTCTATAATGTTAATGTAATCAATTAAATTGTAGAAAATTATTGGATATTATATATTGAAATGTGAGATTGATAAAATGTTGAACTGCTGCAATTTTTTGTATGTAATTGTTTTAGCTGAACCTGGAAAAAAGATAGAATTAGTGGGAATGCCTGTTAGCGGTAATTGGCAGTTTGGTCAAGAGGACATAGAAGAATTAGCATTTCTCATTAGAGAAGCAGGCAACGAAAACAAAGAGAAGCATATATATCGTCCGAGTCGTGTCAGTCAAATGTTAGCATCCAGAGCATGTCGCAGCGCAATTATGATTGGCACAGCTTTAAATACTAATGAAATGCAGAGGCTAATAATGCAAATGACGCAAATGCAGAATCCATGGAATTGTCCGCATGGAAGGCCCACCATAAGACACTTGTTGTCTTTATTGCTAATAAATAAATGAATAAACTAATATTTTTACAAATGTTTAAGTGCAAAGTATGAATAATTCTTTTTATCTATTTATAAAACTTTGATTATTAAGTATATTTATAAAAATCAGAAACTAGAGTTAAATTTCTTGCAAATAGTCTGTAACATTTTTATATATCAAAAATATATATTTAGTAATTTTAATATTTGAATAAAAATTATAAGATAAGAAATAAGAGAATTAAACTGTTTAAAAAGAGAAAAATTGTAAATATATTATACACAATATATCGATACAATTTCTCATTTTCATATAAATATATATATTTCTATTCTATATATTCTATTACACACTAATTGTACGGAATATATTGAAACCAGAATGCGCGGTTGATATCATAATTCCTGGGCATTGTGGATGCCAGTGTAATTCTTTAATATCTGACTGACCCTGATGTATGAACAATAGCTGTGGTGGTAATTTAGCTAATTCGCTGTCTTGAGATTCTTCTGTATGATCCACTTCTACCGACAGATCCCATTGAGCGATCTGATCGTCTGCTCCGCCAGAAGCGAACACAGTGGCTTCTGTGGGATGCCATTCCACAGTGGTGACTGGTGCAGTGTGCTGCTTAAAAGTAGCGATTGGACTTGCGCCATTAAGTCCGAATTGTCGTAAATCCCATATACAGAGTAATCCGTCGTCTCCGCCTGATACAAGAAATTGACTTTCTTTTGGATTCCAAGAGATGACATTGATGTCAGCTGTATGAGCGTCAAATGCCGTCAACATGCACGCATTCTGTGGACTCGCTCTCGTGTCCCAAATCTTTATACTGTTATGAAAAAATTAATATTTATTATAATTTACGAGACAGTGACACAAACATATTTTATATACTTACAGAAAATTTTTTATAAGAAATACGAACCTTTTGTCTACTGAACACGATGCAAGTACATTCTTTTCATTTGGCGACCATTGTAGATCTTCCACACTGTGAGGAGCATGTGAATTGTATGATCGTTGGTCTACATGCCAAGATGCGCTGCTACTGTCGACTCGCCATATGTGAATATTACCCTTACAATCGCCGGATGCTAAAGTACCTAGGTCTGTGCGGCACCAATCAAGGCCAAATCCTTCGGATGAATGGCCTTTGAATGTGTATAATGGTTTAATGACTTCATCTCCTTTGTCACATTTATTACGGTATGCAGTCAACAAGTCGGTATTTTCAATTGCGTTTAATTGTTCTTGTAAATTCCAAATATTTACACGTCCCAATTCGCTCCAACTAGCAGCTAGAGTTGTTCCGCCAAATTTTGTACATCTAATAAATATTACACATAGAAATGTTTTTAAATACATCTCACCAAGTTTTATTAATAATAATGTTTATATTGAAAATACTTACCTAACTCTATTAACACATCCTTGATGTTTTATGGGTGCAACATTCATAATTGGCTTATTCTCGTCATCTTCATCTTCTGAATCACTCGATTCACTTGCTGAATCTTCAGAGCACTGCTTATTACTATGCAAATTGGACATTTTCATGATAAGAAGATTATTGACATGCGCCTTGGCAGCTTGTGTTCCAGCAACAAGGTACACGCTTAAGGGATAACTCTCCCTTGAAGTGCCTAGATCATCTGGTATTACATCAAAACTGAGACACGGCGCACCAGATTGTGCATGATGTAGTAATCTGTATGCCGATTTATCTACGACAAGTTCTTCTCCTTCTTTGAGAGCCTGTCCTGGAAGATATACTTTCGGCGTAATCTTTTCTTGACTGTCATTTGCATTCTCGCTTTCCATAGATTCATCGTCATCACTGCTCTCGCTGCTTTCATTCATAACATCCTCCATAGGTTCCTCTTTCATTTTTTCAGGTATATCTTCGGAATAAATAGGCATATAGACAAATTAACTAAAATTACAAATTTAATAATTTGCTAAATAAATATTCATAAAAATTTGTAATTGCTAGAATACATGTGAAATATATTCTAAGCTCAAAGATGTTGATCAATAAAATATTCTAGGTTGGATAGCTATATTAATTAAATATATTAATAGAATTAGATATACTCACTTAAAGAAAAATCACAATTGATTTATCACTAATATATACTTTTTTTTCTTAAATAAAAGTAAATAAATTACGATTCTGTTATATCATTACAAAAACCACAACCACGTGCGAGTACCGACTACGTTCTACCGCATGCACTACGTTGGCGTGTTGCGAATCGGAGACAGAATAAGCATCAATCCATTTCAGCCAAGATTCAAACCATTTTTAGGTTTGAATCTTGGCTAAAAATGGTTCAGAGCCGAGAGAGAAAGAGTAAAAGGGGCGATGTTTATTCTGTCTTGCACGTTTATCTTAGGTGGCTTGAATTATTTATAATAATATTCTAAAGTAAAATACTATTAGATATTCAGCTGAGTTGTACGAGCAACTATCATTGTCAATGAAAAAATGTACGGATAATATTGTATTTAAAAATTTGTGTTTTTAAATCATGTTTTAATATCAAGAATTTACTCCAAAATTCGAATATGTAACTCATTCAGTTTAAATTTATACAATCATATTTCCCTAATAATATATTCGATTTTAAGAGCACAAAACTTAAATTAAAATTTTAGTTTACATTATTTTTTGCAAAATTTTTTTCTTTTAACTTTATTAATTTTTTGAAGATATAAAACAAAAAAATATATCAATATTCATTATCTTTTACTTGATTATAATTTTTAATAACTTTTATGCGTAGGATGCAGCAAAAAATCACGCGTAATGCACTTTATTTTTAAGTAGTAAAAATTTAATATTTTATCAGACCTTGCTACAAAATTTTGTCAATTACTTTTGCATCTACTCGGTGTCTTCTCTTTACAAAAATCTTTAAAATCTAAATTACATAAATTGTTATCACACAGTATCGCAAAAAAAAAATAAATACAAAAAATTACAAATAATTAAAATCATACATTATCAGTAAGCTCAAGTTATAATAATAATAAGATGTTGATCCAATGTGTTACATTATACTGTGTGTTTGTTGCACATAGTTATTATACTCGTCATACGCAAAAACTTAAATAACAAAATACTTTGATATTTTTATAGGACAGAAGGTATAAAGCAGTGTTTTTGCGCGCATCCTTATATAATTCGCAGAAATCATTACAAAATTTATTTAAGAATTTAATATACAAAGTATATAATTTACCATCTGTATGCTAACACATACGTAACTTTTTCTTCGCCTTGAGAAAATGTAGAAAAAGTTACAATAGTATTCGTGCAAGTGTATACCCAGAATATGCGATGGATGAAAAAGGATCACGTGACATTCTATGCATATTAGGCACAAACATTAAATGATAATGAAACAATTGACTTACTTTTCTCATACCTTATAAAAAGTTACATCAGAAATGAGGACTTGACTACAAAAAAGTGCTCCTTTAAGAACTAATTTATAAACAATCTATACGAAAGAGTAAACATAATAATAGTATTAATAATAGTAGTAATACTTAACCTAAGAATAATATAATAATAAGTGTATAGGTAATATTAATTTATACGTATAAAACACAGCAGTAGTTATCATAATTCCCTTAAGGGGAGAAAGGAGGAGTAACAGTAAATTGCTCCGAGAATTCATGGCAATCAAATTTCGGTAGAAACGTATAATTCGAGACGATATTAGCTGTGTTCACTCAAATGGGCATTGTTACTAGAGTTATTCATTAGTTCGATAGATGCCATTGTAGAGTGCGAATGGTTAGACAGCTGAGAAGTGGGATTATATCGAGGATTTGTATCATGGAGACTGTGCAAGTAAGAGCGCTGGACGGGCTTGTGCTGACCAAGTTGCAGCAGGGCCTCCGGTATGGTGAACCACTTTCGTTTTCGACCAATAGCGCGGGAATCTTCCCATTCTGGCAGCTCCTCTGTTACTCGCATAACCCACACTTCTGTTCTATGTTTGTGTTCTACATTCTGTAAAGAAACATTGGATATCTTAGACACAGCAAATACAATTTAGGGTTGCAATAAGGTCAGACATAGACCGAGTCAGAACGTAGCACTAATATAAAAACCATCACAGTATTAAAGAAATATAACATAATAATATCTGTTTGTATGGCATACATCACGAGTTATAACCTCAAATGTGCCGAGGCAACGACCTAATTGTCCTAGAACACCGGCCTCTTCCCGAACTTCGCGAAGAGCCGTAACCGCTGGTTCCTCTTCAGGTTCGACACCACCGCCTGGTACTATCCAACTGTCTGGTCTTCGACTGGATGTAACTAATAGTACCTAAAATTCACAGTACAATGAAGAACGACGCGAGAGGATTCGTTCAACTTATTCAACGATATCAAGACAAGTCCACCTTGATCAATGGTTAGTCGATCAGAGATCTTACGAACAAAACAATGCTGATACGGGATACATACAACCACGTGCCGGTAAAAATACAGGGGGCAGCCATCTGCTGATTGACTTACCTCATCTTCTAGATCGTTTTTTACGCAAATGCAGGCAGCTCTGCGTCTGTAGCCCTCCGAATCATAGATACGGATTGAATTCGCCTTCTCCTTCACCATGTTGTTATACCGTAGACACCTCCTTCTCAGACCTCTCCGTGGATTCATAAGTAATCGTCAAACGGCCCGACAGGCCATCCTGTGCATCCGCGTCGTCCTGATGTTGTTCGTAGCCGACATGTTATCGACATCGAGTCCACTTTGCCGTACGTAACGTGTGAACGTCGAATTCACGTGAACGGTGGCTGTTACAGCTGTGCCACTTGAATGCTCGGCGCACGTGTGCTTTCACTCGCAACGACGAAACGCGTCTGCCACTGCTGAGCTACGTCGCCCGTGTAGCAACCCGCAATGAGAAATTCGAACCTCACCGGACACTCGCTAACCTCAAACTCTCAAAGCCATTGCGCACGGACCAACCACGACCAGCCATAAGACGTCCCCACCACTGCGTTACATCGCACCAATCCCGACATATTCCTTATGACTCCTGCACAAAGAACGCGATTTATTGCGCGTGTAAAATGCAACATCAATAGCCAATCATCCCCTATTTTTTAAATTTAAATTTTTTATTAAAAATAATTTAAAATTTTTGATCATTAATTATGATTTACGAATATTCTCTCTATGTAAAAAGAAATATTTAGGTTCAAACATCAAGTACGCAACGAAATGTATAGGTATTTGTTTATATTCAAAGTGGAAAAATAACGACAGAAAACAAACGATAAAAACAAGTTTGGAATTTTCACAACAAATAAATATTACATATGTCTATTTGTTTTATTAAAATTTAATTTGATAATTATTTTTAACACTAAGTAAGTTTATAATTAGAATGGATATGATATCGATAACCATGATAAATGTGATTGTATTCTAACATTATATGTGGCGTAATGTGATAAACAAAAGCTACGTTTCAACTTGAAATTATGTTATTTATAATAACATAACAATGATTCTGTAACGATAAAATTATTTAAAGAAACAATAAGAACCAAAAGAATGCGAGTGTTAATGCGTGAAAAGTAATTTATTGTATTTTTCAGTATTTTATTGGCAAGTTTAGAAAGGTTCAAATGTAAAATTGGACATAGTTTGTCAGAATTTGAGAATATATCTATAGCCGAAAACATCTCTGAAAACAATGTAATTTATAAATAACGAAATTATTTGAACAGGTATTAAGAACCAAAAGAATACGAGCATTGGTGCGTGAAAAATAATATATTGTACGAATAGAAAGCACAATAGAGAAAATATGTGAAAGCGAAACATTTTAGTTTCCAATCCGATTTTCGGATCCTTTTTTGTCTTAACGGTGATATTGTCCTTCGGATATTGTTACGTGCCGCAATCATATTTAAAACTTTCTTTAAAAAATCTTCAAAACCTATGTCAGTGTTGCCCAACCTTTTTATACGTACGAACTACATTTTTTTGATAGAGCGACCATCTATCAATACGAGAAAAAAAATACAAAATTGTGATTTCAACATTTATCAAACAATAGAAGCAAATTAAGTGTCATAATATAAATTAATAGAAACAAAATAAATATAAAAATTACAAACATAAATTTTGTAATAAAATAAAAATATGAAGATCCACATGACGGTTATTTTATTGAAGGTAATATTTTGCCTGGGAAAGAATATTTTACGAATCTTTTTAGTGCGACTAGTTGTTTGTTTTGGCTAAAAAAAAATAGATGGGTGATGACATAGATTAGGGGTGTCCAATTATAGTCGATCGCGACGTCCTTTGTGATAGATCTTCATATTTTGATTTCATTACAAAATTTATGTTTGTAATTTTTATATTTATTTTGTTTCTATTAATTTATATTATGACACTTAATTTGCTTCTATTGATATGCTTGATAAACGTTGAAATCACAATTTTGTATTTTTTTTCTCGCATGAATAGGTTGCATGATCGCTCTATCAAAAAAATTTAAAATTTGCACGTACAAAAAGGTTGGGCAACACTGACATAGGTTTTGAAGATGTTTTAAAGAAAGTTTTAAATATGATTGCGGCACGTAACAATATCCGAAGGACAACATCACCGTTAAGACAGAAAAGGGTCCGGAAATCGGATCGGAAACCAAAATGTTTTGCTTTCACATATTTTCTCTATTGTGCTTTCTATTCGTACAATATATTATTTTTCACGCACCAACCCTCGCATTCTTTTGGTTCTTATTGCCTGTTTAAATAATTTTATTTATAAATTATATTGTTTTCAGAGATGTTTTCGGCTACAAATATATTTTCAAATTCTGACCAAACTATGTCCAAAAACAAACTTAATCGAAATGAATTTCAAGAGTAAGAGTCAATAATGGAAGGAATATATACACATTTTATAAACATTTTTGTACAATAAATCAGTTATTATGAATAATGTATCAATATATATTTACATAATGTACTATGACTAATATAATGAGACTTTTAGGCAAATTAAAATAAACTTGAAAACAAACATTAAAGCGTTAATAATTAATTAAAACTTAAAGATGTTTTATATATTTATTATTAAATTATGAATGAAATGAATATAATAAAACTTATGTTTTTATTCTGCATTATGAATGGATTTTATTTCATATTTTAATCCAATGCTAAAAAAAGTTACGAAGAAATGCTGTTTTATCTAATTTTCGATAAAATTTATTTCAGACTAGTCAAAAAATCAGCTGCAAAGAGTATATGTGTGAGTTCTCCAATACCGTGTATATTACAGTTCAAAATATTTACCCGTAATTATCGCAATTTCACGAATTCATTGTATTTGCACCCATAAAAAAAACAACTCTAAAATTAAATTTCTTATAAAAAATCGAATGTAACTTATAAACTATATATTTAAGTCAATAATGTCATACATACAAATGGTTCATTACAACCTGTGTCCAAAGTTACAATTCTGCGAATTTAGGCTTTTTCCGCCTCTCGCGATTTCTTTATTCTACGAAGATTTTCGGGCTCCCACGATTTATTTCATGATCAGATTGTTATATCCTCAAGTAGAAGAATTCCGTACCGTACGTTTATCTTAAATTATTGAAAAGTATCAGCCACACGATGGAACAGGTAGGGAGTTAATGTATAATTTTATAAAAAATATCTCAGAAACCAAATGTTCTTACTGTAAATCTTTGCACCAATTTTTACTCAACAAAAATATTAATATATACACAATGATAGAACAATTAAAAATAAATTTTTGGGCAAAAACAAGCATACGTGATAAAATCATATATTTAAATATCAAGTGGATTTTAAAGTTAAAGTTTAAAAGCATTTTAAGTTGACGTAATCAATAGTAAAAATGGAAAATTTTTTGTTAAAAATATATATGATTCTATAGGGGTCACATTACACATTTATTTAGGGTAATAAGAAAATGAACTCTTCAATCTCTTTCTATTATTTCGTGCAAGTTTTTTTAATAATTAAGGCGCTGACAAATGTTGATCTTATTCGTTTTAGTTGTACCTCTTGCGTTTTTGTTTGTTTGTTCCCTCCTAAATTAAATATATATCCTTTTTTTATTTTTAATACAGTAAGTGCAAGAAAGTACAACTAATTGTAAGACGAACAGATTCGTTAATACAATACGGAATACCGCTACGGGATTGAGAGCGGGGCAAATATGTGCGCGCACATGCTACATACATAGCATATGCAACACACTTGTCTTGTCGTGCGCGCTATAGAATACGCGATCTATTTGTGTCCCTCCTCGTCACACTGAGCGTCACCTTGCACTTTCTTCCCGCACTCTGTCTTTGTAATCGACGCACACAACAAACCTTATATATTGTAAAATCGATAAACGTCCAATCGTGAGACAATTCTCACCTCGATCAGTAACAAAACGCAAAGAAAATTTCCTTGCAACATGTTATCGCTATTATTGATGTCGTATTTTTATTTTGAGTTCTATATATTCTATGTTTTTCTTCTTTTTTATTTTTTACGAAACCGGACCCATCACTTACCTCTTGTAGCTTAAAAAAGGTATACATATACATACATGGTATTTTAGAGGTCGCATACTTTCTCTTGAATACAGATTTTTTTCAATGGAGGGTCTTTGATGTTAAATATTTTTTTTAACTTTAAATTAAAATGGTTGGTTCATTTCTAATTAATTAAACAATCCACTCTTTGCAGTCAACAAAATTTTTTAACTTACAATTGCTTATTAGTGTGAGAAAAGCTTTTAATCGGATTAATATCTGTAGTCGAGAAAAAGTGCGAGTATGCATATACACACGCACGCACATGTATTCACACATTTATACACACATATACACATACATTTAAGCATTCGTTTTTATTAACGTAATTTATTTCTAGCTCCCTTTGTTCATTGCACTGTTCTCATTTTTCTTTTTTTTTTTTCATATTCTCATTGCTTTATTAGTTTCGTTTTCCTCACGCAAATACAAGTCCGAGCCAAACATATATGGTGTGTGTATATTACTGGAACAATGATAGACTTTGATTGTTCGTATTACAAAAACTACTCCTGCTGGTTATGTCAATCCTTACTCATATACAAAAGAGATTAATTATACAGTAGGTAATCCTTAGTAATCGACAATAGACTGTACATCTCAGTAACACGGAGTGTGTCAATTCTCTCTAATAACAACAAAAGAGATTATCACATTAGTATGAATCTCAGTAAGGAAGGTTAAATCAGAACCTTTATTGTTACTACAGCATTAACAGCTTTACGTCGTCATCTCCAGTGTTTGAAACTCTTATACATTCTGGCTCTCCCTTTTATGAAAGTATCAAAAATATCCTTTCTAGCACTCATCCCCCAACAGATAACGAAAATTACGATATATCGTCTGGATACTAAAAATCAATAATATAACTAACTTATTTAAGGTAGAGCTCACCTGCTCCTATGCAGGTCTCCTTGACTAAGATTCGTTCTGTCCCCTTTTTCCAAAAAAAGAAAAAACATAAAAAGAATAAGAAAGGAAAAAAATTATCATTGATAATAATAAATTGTCCTGCTTAAGCGCTAAATCGAGTTCAAGTTGTAAACTAAGTAAAATTTATAAATATGGTACAATTTATAGTAAGCGATAGAGCAATAATAGATTAATTATATAGATACGTATAGCATGTATCGTTGAATCTTATGGCGATTTCTGTTATTTAAGTCCCCCGCTTAACAGTAATAAAGTTGAGGATTGAATTAAACATGTGTTTCCATATGTTCGATTTGATGAGTGAGTTTTGTTCAGTCGAACAATTCACCGCACGCACCAATCACCAATGCGGACTAGCAGCCACCTTGACTAGCTCTTTTTTAAATTTCTGTCGTTTCCTGCCATCTTAATCCCATTGACGTGAATGTCCTCTGGACCAGCAACGTATTCCATTGTGCTTCACCAAGTTCAGCGGCTACAAATCAATCTCCAGGATGTTCAGGGCAGCTACGATTTACTTGAAACCACTTATCAATGCAGCTAGAATATAGACACATCAAATTTTATATTATCCATTCTATCATGACATATGAATGATTGTAACACATTTTTTAACATAATTCTATAATTAATCTCTTGATTATTTCAATATCAGTAGTTACATATTATATTTAACAGTATTAATATAATTTTATATAATTTAATATTTAAGAATTAGTTATACTTTTATAATATAACAATATTGATATATTTTTAAGACAAAAAAATATCTTTATCAACAATAAATTAGAATAAAATAATACATACTTTTTGTGATATATACAGAGACAGGGCAAGCGGGCTATAAGATCACCAGATTGTAACTCCTCAAGACAAATGACACATTCACCTTTTCCATCAGTTAGCACATCCTCTGTTATATGTACAAGCAGAGGTATACTTAATTAGTGTTCAACAATTTTCAACCATTAAAACATATAAACTTTGTTTTGAAAATAATCTGTGACTTACCATTATAACTGAGCCGTGGTTTGGTCAGGCACATGACCAGGTGACATTCTATATCATCCGGTAGAATAAACTTGGAGCATACAGGACACTTTAGACCTTGAACAAAAATCCAGTGAAAGAACTGTAGAAAAACGGTTAAAAAAGCGAGCGGAGGGTGCAGGGGGGAGAGAAGAAGGTAGATAGATCGGAAGTAAAAACGATGTATAAATCAGAAAGATATAATACCATAAAAAACTCTTCTCACTCGGTCTACTGGAACTACAGCCTCAGTCTCGTGCTCGTTTAGACACGAGCTCACTATAACTCCCATAATCCCGACATAACCTCAGCCATGACCCGTCGTCCCGCGCGATAATTTTCTCCCGAGTCTCATTTTTTACGATGTGTTATCCCTTTTTTTTTTACTTTTTTTACTTCGATATTTATTCGCTAATTTAAAATTTACCTAGCCTGTGTTGCGGTTTCAGGCTAGTCATCGATTGTAGTACGCGGTTACCGGGCCAACCACCCCGGCAACACGCATCAAAACAAACGCCCCCTGTCCCACCGCGAATCATCATCGAGCACCAACTCCGTCCGCGAGTTTCACGATTGCGCAACATAACCTCGCTTTTGCGGTGCCTGTTTGCAATTAGGTTAGAGATCACCGATTAACGCCCCGTGCTAAAATCGAACGACTTTTGTGACGCACTACACAAAAGTCTGTCTTGTCTGAACAATCTTATTGTATAAATCGATATGTTCCTATATCTATGGAAATACAGTGAATAGCTAGAGGCGAATAAGTAAATAAAATCTAATGACTTCCTATTTTAGCAATATTGTTTATACAGCACTCTTTCTTCAGAAATAGAATATCACCGAACTTCTCATATATCAATGATAATTTATATATATATTAATTTTTAGCATTATAAGAAAATTAATTTATAGCAAGAAATATACAATAAACACATTTTAGAAGCATTGTAATTTAAGAGCAGATAGCTTCTAAATCTAGTTTATAGAATCCGTTAACATGTAAATGATACTTAAATAAAGTCCATGAACTTACCGTTAAGGGACCAAATATGTGAAGGCAAGCTATGAGCGGCATAAACACGACTGCTTTCCTCATCTGTATCCACATCAGAATCTTGTGGCAAGCCAAGGGCTTGACCGAGGGGGACTCCTACCCCTACCGAAGTAGAAAGACCAGCCTGCTCTGCTGAAGAAAGGTCCGGCACGGAACTCAAAGACCTTGCACGTTGTCTACTGTCACCTGATACACGTGAGTTCTGCGATTGATTAGCCTGTTGGTGCTGATGTTGCAGCATGCCCATACCACCAGGCAGGGAGCGGAGCATGGAGAAACCCATCGTGGTCTCATTAGCCCCAGTGGAGGACTGACCGTTGCCACCAGCTGATTGTGTTACAGTACTTGCCTTGGCTCCCATCCCAGCTAAGATTCGAAATTGTCACCACGTGTCCGCACGCAATTTCTCTTTATTTTTTTTCTATCTATTTGTCCGTCTCTTCAGCGAACAATTAAAGAATTATTCGCTTACTTAGTTCACCGGAAAAAAAAGCAAAATCCGAGTTCCAAATATCTCAGGTCCTGGCAGTAGTACGCGCGCACGCACATACATACACACACACTGGCACAGTCCTCGCGCCTCCGTTTAGCCCACGTCTCGTCGTTCTTTCCGTTTCAGCGTCGGCGTCGGCGGCGATAGACGACTGGACGATATCTGGCTCGACACCACCGGCGGTGTGGTGTGCTTACAACACTTTGAGATTTAACTTAGGCCGGAATTTGGTAGATGTGCGCCACGACAAGCAAGTCATTTCGTCCGCGAGCATATCAGCGGCTCGTCGCACAAAACATCCCCCGACATCTTGCGATAAACTTCCTAGATGTCAACGCGGTCAACTCACGCAGATACTCCACTTCACGTCTTTGTACATTGAATGCATAAACTATAAGATAACTAGGTTGGCTGCTTAGCAAATGTCTATTTATTAAAGAGAGTACATTGGTTAAAAGAATGTAAGGTAGCGAATCTGATTGGCTGTGACATATTGTTAATACAAGCTCAACATATTGAATAAAGCATAAGTTGTCTTATGTATCACCAATATGGCATTTAAACATCGCATCGCATCGCATCTGGATATTCATACACTATGATTCAAATTATCCGATAGTTTAAAAATATAAATATTTGTATGTGTTTAATGTGTAAAAAATAAATCATGAAATTACAACAAAGACTTTGCAACTTTTTCAAAAAAATATGTCTCTTATTTCTTTTTTTATCTATGAAAAAAACAACAACTTACCTTATTAAATATAATATATTAATCTTTAATTGTGAAAATATTAGACAGAATTATTAATTACAACATATACCAAAAATTTATTTATACATATATATATTTATATATATACCTTTTTCTTATAAATACCACAAGTATATGTACAATTTAATTGTTATAAAAATATCTAAAGACGTTTTGTAATTTTTATACACACGTACAATAAGTTTCAAAACGGCGAAAATGGCACATAGTTGGTAAAATAGTTAATTAATAGTTTTGACATAGGTTACTGGTATCAGCCTTTGAATCAGGGCTCAAAGAGCTCCAATGAGTATCGATACACTTTTGTAACTTGGATTCAGTCCGAATTTCATTGTCAGCATCACATATTTCATTGATTTTGTAGTGCTCGTATACTAATTTGTCCAACCAATCCTCAAGGTCTTTACCGATCCTGTTTTGACTTTGTGTTATCTGCTCATTCGCCATTGCGGATTGCACTAACTTTGACCAACTTTTGTTCATTTCTTCAGTAACATGGTAAACGGTGCTTGGACCATCTATTATCTCCCTGGCCTTTTCGGACTCTATCTTCTTGTTCTTCCAATAAGTCAATGGAATCACTAGAAATTTTAGTTTTGCTATTAGTTGAGTGTCAGCAACTAACAACAATCGCCAGGTACCAACGACCAATTGTTCATTCAGCTGTGGCTTAATATGTCCTACCTAAAAAAAACATACGATAAAATTGTAATATCACTATGAGATTGATACGGAAAAAATAAAAGAAATTTTAATAGTAAAATTTGATGTCGCATATAATTACCAAAGCCAACTCCTCTAGCAATATATGATTCACATCAGCAAGGCGGCCATGCGGATCAATCCATAAAACTGATATATTTTGTGGCACTGTTATACCAGCATCAAACTCGTAAGCCAATATTGGACTCGAATACGGTCCTATGCTACCCATCAAGTTCCTAAACGTTTGTTCTTTTTGATCATAATCCGTATTCACAGAGAGATTTCGTATTTTTCCAAACCATAATCCCGACCATGATCTATTGGCGGAAAAGTTATATCGCATAGAAATTGAAGCTTCCACGCGTCTTCCATGATTATTAGTTAGTGCGGACACATCGGAAAATTCGTCTCTACTTTCCGCGAGAATCAATATACCGATGAATCGATTCTCGCGAAAATATACAGTATTTTCCAATAAATGGATATTCCTGTAACTCATCTTTAATTTATGGTAAACCAGTCTCGCCAAAGAATACGAAAGTGTTAGTAATGCATCATCCGGTAACGGGCTCAAGTCCGCGTGATGATACAGACTTTGCCAGTATGCATCGTAGCCCCTCACTTTGATCGTTTTATTCGCTCTGTCGGGGTACAGCCATTCCTCTACGCGGTCTATAATTCGATGATCGATAACAGGTTCAAATTTACGAGCAAAGAATATATTGCGATCCACAGTGTTTCGTAACCGGTTAAAGTCCTCGAGCTTAAAGTCATTTGGACTGCACCCACACCAATCAACAACGGCCTTATATTGACACTTGCAGCCCAATTTCCTCTTCCAGTTAGTCATGTGCAGATTATTATCTATGTAAGTGTTGCAGAATCGCGAATTTCTCAAAATAGTATGAAAAAACGATTCAGCTGGCAGTAAAGTGTATTTGAACAATTTCGACAAATTAGTTACCAGTGAATCGGGATTCGCATCGGCAACATACTCGACAAAATCTCGACTCAGAGCAAACCAATCGCTACCACCGTCGATTTGAATACCTATAATAATCAAATAAAAATTTATAATAACACTGGAGAAGTCTCTCCTTTTTTTATATGTATATAAAATAATAATATTACATACCATCTGGTAATTTGCGATCACCGATTCGCCACATGCGTGCCTCGCATTCAACGAAAGTCTTATCTAGACCTTGTTTTGCTATGAAACGCTGAACTTCTCTTCCATGTGACTTTGCGAAGTTCATGCCTTTGTTCCAACTCAGGAACTCAACTAGTTGATTGTTGCTTTTCAAAGGAAAATCGGACTCCGATAAATTTACAAGAAAATCCCAATGGTGATGATAAGCGAGCATCTGTTGCGCAGATTTCAAAAATGTCGTCAAAAGACTCGCACCTCCCCAAATACTCGCATGCCGCAACCCTTCACCTCTTGCTACTTTGATATTTTTTAATTTACAGGATTTCTCCACCTCCAACATTTCGCGGTATAAATAATCTTGTCTCTGAAAATACACAATTGAAACATTATGTCAATTTATTTATTGAATCCAACATTGAATTTAATATTGAATCCAATAATCAGTATTGCTATTGTTACATTCAGCTTAGTGCATACAGAAATAATTTGAAAATCATTAAGTATTTAAAGTTCAAATAGAAACATATAAAATATTTAAAAATTTTACATGTTTTTATGATATAATTTATGTGTGTGTGTGTAACTAAAATTTACAGAATTTGTTGCATTACTCACCGCATCAACGTGAATATAAAATAAATGCGACGAATGATATAAAATACTGATAAGTCGCTTCACTTGCCGACTCGCTCTACCATTCACAGTCAGCAGATAGGCTATTCGTACGGGTCGCTCAAGTTCATTTTTTAAACTCGAATTTCTTGGCTCTTGAGCTTTAAATTCTGTCAAGTTAAAAAGAATTTTGTAACAATTCTATAAAATTTATATATATTTATATGCTGTCACACATACTTTGAATTCCAGTCCAGTATATATTAATCGTTAAATAACCACCGCATGTCTGTTTCGGATTGCCGGAACACTTCATGTTACAACTAGAATCTGGTAATCGTTTTGTTTGTAGTGGTTCTTCCATTCCACAAAAACATTCCATCCTAAAATCACACATTCAATAAGATTCATATTCAATGAGAATACACAATATACTGATGTATACACTATGTATTATCTTCTGAGACACTAACGAGTACTCTGTACCAGCATACGGAAATCCCGATTGAAGACACATATAAGCGCAACGCTCAGGCGTATTGTTCCCTTTAAAGACATGATAATAACCAGAAAGCACTCTCAATGTCTTATCATCTTTAAAGCAGCCTAAGTTGGTCGGCATGCCTGTAAAACCTGGAGAATGAGGACACAAAGATTGTACTCTTTCTGGGTACAATAAACCCTGCTGGTTAAGGCACGTCACATTGACAATGCGTTGCTTGCATGCTTGACTCTGAGCACGCGTTACAGCACTCACTGCCTCTTTGACCATAACTTCACACATGGGTGTAAAATTTAATGATTTACGATCTAGTTTTATTTTGGCGGTGCGATTTCTTAGTTGAGATTGCAGTGTTTGCTTATTTAAGTTTGTCTGCTTATCGGGTGGAAGTTTTAGTTGACGTAAACCTTTTGGCAAGCCTTCATCTTCTTCAGGTTGAGAAGAACCGCCCTGTAATGTAACAGAAAGTATTAAATAAATAAATTTTTCTATTCTTATTACATATTGCTTTCAAGACAAGGTTATAGACAATTCACCTCTCCGGACGACAGTCGATTGGATTTGCTTTCGTCATTATCCAGAACAAAAAATGTGTGTAGGTAGATCTGAACACACAATACGGTAATACCGAAGGCGAAGAGCAGCCGATACTTGCGTAAACAGCTCGACGATCGGCCACTCGGGTGGCTTTTGGTGTGCGTGATCACCATGTTCTTCGAATTTCGCTCGTAATTACCATCGATTAAGATGTAAGATCTCTTCGACTCCGGCTTCTTAGCCGAGTCCATCGAAGCTAACGATTTTTTATCACGACAGCAACCTCATTTAGCATAGTGCGGGTCGATCCGCATTCCGTCTTTTTCAGCAGAAAACCGAATACGCTTTTCTACTCATGCGCTCCACATCGCACTCCATCTCATGCACTTTGCACAAATGCACTGAATGACATCCTAATATGATAGAACCACGAAAGTCTTATAGGTTAGAATAGATTAGGTTAGGTTAGGTTAGATTCATGCGCCATAGCGCGTGCCTGAGCTGCATAAACTTAAAGATGGTTGCATAGGTTATGGTCGCGTCTTGAATAACGCAGTAAACAATTTAGTCACGCTTTTTATCACTTGTGTGGTCATCGACGAGAAACGCCCATGGAAACTGAGCGTTGTGAGAAGATTGTGTGTCTATTCCGAGTTAATCTGGTGAACGAAGTGACGTAGAGAAGGACAAGAGGACGCGTTAAGGATACGGTTTTTAGAGTTAGATGCAACGCCAAAAAATGGCAAATACGGCGATTATGCACAAGGCCAAGGAGGAGGATATTCTCGAATGTTTTCTTTATCCAAAGTTCTGCTACACATCTGACCCGGACGCGGTAACGGAAGCAAATCTCAGTGAAGAAATTGCTAAGTACAATCAAGAGATCGCTCCGTTTATTGCCGATCACATCTGGCACAGTGACAGTTTAAATTTCCGTCCTAGAACCAAACAAGCAATGTTATTGAATAGAATTCTTGAGGGATCAGCCGTAGAGGAAGGTAAATTTTTTATTTGTATGTGTTATTTTTAGAAAAGATTTGTTAATCGATAATAATAATCAATTATTTTTTACTAGATTATCATATCTTGCCTCATATTTATGCCAGTCTACGTTTTGACGAGGATATAGGTGACGAGTGGCTGACAGTGTTCTTAATATTTAGGCTTACCAAAGTCTTCAATGGATTAATTGCTAGAGTAGTGGACTCGGATGGAGAATTTCTTTTGATAGAGGCTGCTAATGTCTTACCATTGTGGGCAAGTCCTGAAACATGTCAGGATCGAGTGTTCATTCATAATGGTGATATTCATGTCATTAGAGAAAGGGGAACGTCATTTCCTAATTTGTTGAATAACATAAATGGCAAGCCACATATCTCCAAGATGTCTGAAAAAGTACAGCTTGTATTGCAAAAGCGAATTGGCATTTATCCTGATGAGATTCAGAAGAGAAGACACAAGACTAGGGCGTTTCTTCCTGAAAAGGCGGCCTCTATACTTCATTTAGAACCAGGACTTATAGCTCCAGTGATTAGGACCATTTGCCACTCGGATCCAGTTGAACGCAGGGTATAGTGAAGTCTATTTAATTTTTTACATACAATTTATATCACATGTACATTTATCATTATTGTATATTCCAGGTTTGTCGCGCCATGAGATATTTTCCTCCCGAACAACGAACGATGGTTAATGTTAAAATGACCAAGTGTTTGTACGCGATGGCGACGCACTGTCGTTATACTGGTGATCCAAGAACAGGTTGGAATATACCACCTGCGACTTGCTCAAAATACAATGCTCATGTTCTCGGAGTTAAGATAGCATGCGGGTTAGAGATGCTAGTAGCTCGGGCTAATGAAGAACGTAGAAAACGTACCAAAGAACAGTTGGATGTTTCTGATAACACTGAGAAATTAAAGCTGAACGAACCAGCACTCAACGCTTACCTAGCTCGTTTAGAAGCAAACGGTTATTTTAGAGATCTGTTGGAAGGTAGCCAAGAACGTGATAAGCTACTATCTACGGCAAAAGAGTATTTCTTGAAGCATGCAGCTTTATTTAATAAACTAACAGATTTGTACGAAAGCGATGCTCAAAAAGTTTTAGAAGCATGGGAGAACATACAGACAAATGACATTGAAATGCATGGTAATTTATTATTTATATGTTAAATTTACATTTTAAATAGTGATTTTCTCAAAATTAGCGTAGTAATATTTTTCAAGATTACATTAAATGTGTACTTAGCTATATATTTAAGTATTTTTCTACACATAGCTCAAGATGAGACTATGCTCAGTCCAGCGGACAGCGATAGTTGGTTAAATGTGGACCCTGCGCAATTAGAAACGTATTTACAACAACAGTGGGGCAATGTTAAGGATAGAAAATTAGATCAAGAATCTTTGAGTCTTCGAGAAAAGGTGCAATCATTTCTCAATCAAACCAGTGACGTCGATGGCGTGCATTTCTTAGGGTATGATTTCTATCGGATGATAAAAGATTCCGAAAAATATATCATTAATCCCTGATTGATTCATAAAAATTCATAATCATTGATTTTGTTTGTAGGGAACAATCGATGGAGAATGATATGCAAGATGCTGAGGACGGTGCGCGAATAGACTTTGATGCGGATGCATTCGACAGTGCGCTGAGAGGCATCCTCGACTTAGTCGTTCCAGGAGGGGAAGGGGAGTTCGAGGGTAGTTCAGAGGGATCGCTAGGCGGCGACGATGAAGATAAAGGCGGCGATATGGACAAATACATGCGACTGCTAGATTCACAGCTGCAGTCGCAGATGGTAAAGGATGAGAGCTCAGTAACGAATGATGATAATAGCGCGGATCCTGTAGAGGCAAGTTTACGAGAAAGTATCGAAGCTGAGGCTGGGGGTTCCGGCCCGGCCGGAAACATAATCGGTGGTCCTGTTCGAAGACTCATGCATTTACAATTGCAATCGCCTACAACGGTACCACCTGATTTACAAAGTTAATGACATCTCGTAGTAAATCATTAACATAGTTTACTCACATTAATGTTGGTAAACATTATTACAATCTCTTCGCTTCATTCTGCAAAATACATTAACATTTGCCATTTCAAGCAAGGAGAAAAAAGATATGGACTAAAGTCTTGTTACTATCCAAATTATTATTACATTTATTATATAAAATATATACTTAATGTTATCAATTAAAGCACCTTTATCACGCAAATAATATCATTGATACATATTTCACGATTGTACTTTCATCACTCGGCTATATCATTGTTTTTCATACAAAATTATATATATATATACAAAAATATAACATATAAGATGTTATTACTGCGGCCATAGAATAGATTTTAAGAACTCTACTATTTGTATATGTAGCATTTTGTTTCCACTTTTATAACTAATTTTATTAAGCATCGAACTCTCTTATGTGTAAAGCTTTGTACATTTCAATTGGAATAATGAGAGACACGTTGAACATTGGTGTGTACAGATTTGTATATTTTAGACTTGTAAAGATGATACGTGTATGTCTATGCTTAAACATACACAAATCTGCATAAAAATCTCGTACAGAATATTATAATTTAAGAAATTGCCACCTCTCGAAGCTATTAGCAAAGTAATCGATTATTTAAATGACTGCTTAAACCATTTTGGTGTCGTATTTTCATTCTGAGCTGATGATGATTTACCACTGCCACTTGGTCCTGGAGTATTGTATTCATTCTCGATAACTATGCCTCTATCATCTTCAGCCGTTGGCTCTTGTTCTTTTCGCGTCGTTCTATAGATAAGCGTATAAAATTTAACAATTTATATCGAGCGTTACAATTAATACATTTTACCTAGATTTCACAGCTTCGATTCCAGCAGCTCTAGGATCTGTTAATTTGGCTTTTACACTTGACTTGAGCAATGATTGTCCTGAATAATAAATAATAGCAGAGGGAACAAGATTTTCATCTATCAATCGCGCATCAGAGTTTAAGATATGCTTCGGTGGGGTAGTATCTGAAAAAAGTAAAATAATAAAATATTACAATAAAACTATCACATGTTCATCTTTTTCATTATAGAATAAATATAATTGCACGTCATTACTTACAGATAGTGAATTCACCATCCGGATTTTCTAAATAATTCCTGATGAAATCCTTTACACTTTGGATAGTCTCTAAAGGTACGAATAAACCTTGAAGAACAAATTGATCGGGAAATTGCACACGAATTACGGTGCGTCGATACTTGTTCAATTGGTCCAGAGTACGTTTGTCTCGATCCAGCTGACGCTGCGCCTCCGTTTGAAATGGCGCGTTCTCAAGCTGTTCTCTGCGACGTTTAGCATCTCGTAAAAGAGTCTTCGCGTCGTGCAAGTCAAGATCGAAAAAACTGTCTGGCAATTCATCCCTCGGCAATGCTTGAGTTCCGGCTTGATTGAACACTAGAGCGTTTCTTTCTCCTAACTATAACATAAAATCACCGATCAGTAAATATGCTACTTGAACGAGATTGAGTAGCTACACAATTACACCTTACAAACTTAATTTCGTATGTGTTTTTCTGGTCTTTTATGCACGTCTCCATGGTATTTTGATCCTTTTCATTAAGATTTTTCTGACTGGATATAACAGGATTTTCTTTTTCCATAGATGTATCCGTTTCTTGATGTTTACTACTAAATGCATCTACTTTATTATCTTTTGTATCTATCTTAGCGTTTGCTTTTTCCTGATTTTCCATACTTGAGACATTTTTTCTTGATAAATTAATGTCATCCATTGCTTTACTACACTGCGGCATGGATGATGATGCTTTTTGATCATTTTTATTATTTGATGAATCATCTGTTGTTGCCGCTGACTTTGGAAGCAAAGGTGTAGATATGTGCGCCTGAGTTTTTAATTGCTCTGGATCACGATATATCAGTCGCAATATTGCCTTTCCACTATTGAGCCCTAGTGACTTCAACGTTGTTTTTTCTAATATATCTCTCCCATATACCTGTATAGAAAAACCTGAGGTACATTTTCATTTTCTTCTTTTCAAATTCTTATTATACAAGATTTTTTGTATCAACATTATAAAATACTATTGATTTCTACATTATGCAAAAAATGTGTGTTATACATACTTCACGATGCATGTAGATCAATACAGCTTTGTCGAGATCTGAATTAGGATATACTTCTTTCAATACTTGAGCTAATGTTGTATTAGGGAGAAAGTCTCGCATTATTCTCTCCCCATCCTCCGGCTGAATACCAATGGTAACATTCGATGAGGAACGTGCTTTTGTACAGGTTACCATTTCCAGCTGAGCATTGTTGGGTAACCCAGTAAAACGAAATATTGTGTTAAGGTCTAATATTTGCCGATTGTGTCTGTAACAGAGAGATGTAAGACTTGGCTTGTGATGATAAGATGTTATGACATTACAAAAATTCAATTCACTCACTTTATGTCGTAATCGTCGACATTGTAGCCCTGCTTCTGACATACTTCTTCCAATACCTGCAAAAAATCTTCAACTGAAGATGTCGAGAACATTTTGTCCGTTAACGGAATATATGTCAATGCCGATATTATTCTTAATTAGCGTATACATATGTCATTCACCGATAGAGAGCGTAATTACAGTTGATGACTTTACCTGCAATATTGTCGTGTTAATTGTAACCTTCACATTCTGTCGGCGACCGTTCGGTGCGAGCACGACGACAGTTTTGTTTGCCGCCATGGTGATTAGTGAGATTTCACACAATTCCAAGCAGTACGAAACTGCCCAATCACCACGAAGTCAACAGCTGATCCAAAGCAACTTCGCTCGTGCAGATTCTTCACACGCTTCTTCGAGGCTGTATAAAGCTCCGTGTCCATGATATTGAACAATCCAATGGAAATAATTTTTTTGTTGCGATCGAGATCGAATGTTTATATGTTGGCAAGAGCCAAAGTTGTTGATTCCCGAAATTATTGTGGCCGGCCTGCGCGTACGACGAACGGAGGGTCGTTTACATCGCGCGCGAGAAACGTTGTATGTGTCAGATCTGTCGCGCTTGTAGCGTGAAGAGCAACGAGGCCGCGCAAGGCCGCGAATCTGACAACAACGAACTGACAGATACGCACAAACAAAATGTCCACGACACGCCACCCTGTGTTTATCAGCGGTGGTTACTTGTGCGCGACAACGTGATGTACTCTCTCGAATCGTCACCGTCGGCTCGAAACAATACACAAATGATAGCCCGTAAGATGAAAATAGGCGAGCCGTGGCACGATGGTCATGTCCTTTAACCGGTATCTACCGGTGATCCTGCCGGACATCGAGGAGAGCGAACCCGGCGGTATCGTCGCCGCAAGTGCAGTCCAGCCGTCCGATGGCAAGCAACGCATTTCCTACATCACGGATGAGACTGTCACAAGAAACTGCACCGTCACCACCACCGGTGGCAATTCAACGACGGCAACCTCCGTGACAACGCCGGCGGTTACGGTGCCGCTATGCGTTCTAGGCGAGGTACAGCTGCGCTTCCTCTGCCCTGATGATCTGGAGGAGGTCCGCTCGCTTTGTCAAGACTGGTTCCCGATAGGTGAGCACATCTGGCACTTGGAATAAATATAGAGTTTTTATTTACT